GAAATGGTCCTAAATTAAGAAATCATTTCTCCCACTTTACCTGAAATATTGTTGCAACTTAGCTCTCTTCATGAGCTTCCTTCTATAAATTTAAGAATCAATGAACTAAAAAATTAAAATTAAAAAATAAAATCAATTTAAGTTTGATTTATAGTATTAGATTTATTATACTAAAACTTTTTAATTGCTTCATTAACTGTATTAGGCATGATTTGTTCACTTTAACATTTAGAAACAAAATCAATTTCGATTACTAATTTAGTTTTACATTTAAGAATAGATTTAGTTTCTATTAGATGTTTTGATTCATAATTAAGACAAAATTTATATTCTAAATTATTCTAATTACAAGTTAGGTTCATATGTGATGGCAGGTTCTTTTTTTATTATGTCACAAGCTTCCTCTTTCCGTCTTTATATTTTTAATTATGGAAAACATGACAACTTGTATAAAAAATGAACCTGCCATCACATAAGAACCTACCATCTCATTTTTTATTATGTCACAAGCTTCCTCTTCCCGTCTTTATATTTTTTAATATGTCACAAGCTTCCTCTTCCCATCTTCCCGTCTTTATAAAAAAAGAACCTGCCATCACATATGAACCTAACTTGTAATTAGAATATAAAAAAAGAACCTACTATCACATATTTGCTGCCTCAAGCAGCAAATCAAATGACAATAATGAATGAAGAATGAAATTCACAACCCCAACTAGTTGAAATAAATCTAAAAATGATAATAATGACGATAGATTAGGAAATGAAACCCTTCAATTATATGAAATATCAAATACAAAACTCAAGGTTCAGGCTCTACATGACAGCCGAACTCCGATACAATCTAAATTATCAACTGAAATAAATCTCTTCTTTGAGAATTGTATGAATAACTTAGTAATTTTTACAGTTCAACCATGACATAATGAATATAACCTAGGCCACAATTTTTTTCCCTTCCAACCATTGAAAATGAAAGGAAAAATAAAACAACAACATCTCAATCTATGGGAAGAATTTTCATGTGATCCTTGTAACCAGCAAAAAATGTAATAGACTTGCAATGTCCACATTGAGCAAGTTTCAAATTGAACACAAAGTAATGTTAACTAAAAAATCATTGAAAACCATAAATCATATTATGATACAAATTCCAAAGTAATACTTTGCTAAAGAATTTATGCATACTGTCGTTATACCAAACTAACATGACAAAGATAATGAAATGTTCAAGTATAGCAAACAAGAGGAGTAAAATAGGGAAAAAAATCCACCTCAGGTGAATCCTTTTTAGAAAAAACATTCAAATTATTTTGTATACAACTCTCACCAAAAGTTCTTATTAAACAAAACGTGAAAATCAAAACAGGGACTGAGTAAAAAAGAAAAAAAAGACTAAATGCAAAATAGTGAGTAGACTGTGAAAATCAACACAGAAATAATCACTGAATCTTTTCCTCTCAACCATTCAAAATCAACCCTAACCTCTTAGAGCACTTATAGAAATCAATAATGTTGAATGATACAATAAAAATGAGAGGAAATTATATTATAAAGAATATCATAGAAATTTCGAAATGAAATGTGTAAGAATGGTATTAGGGATAACCTGAGAGGGAGAAGCCGACGGAGGCGAGTTTGCGGGATGTTCTGAAGAATTGTGAGGGAAGAAATCATATCAACATGCGAGAGAGGCCGTTGCCGCTTCGCCGATTGCAGTTGGAGGACGTAGGGCACGGGAATAGCGAAACTGAGAGCAGTTGGAGGTCGTCGGCTCGTCTAGGGCACGGAAATAGCGAAAGTGAGAGCAGGCGTGCATGAGAATGAGATTAGGATTTTTTGATTTTGAGTTTTTTTACGACGTCTACACTAGGCTACGAAGACCTAGGTGCTAGAGTTGATTCCAGGGAAATTGACCTCGAATAATGAGGTCAACAATAAAATGTTAATGATATTTTAAAAATGCATTATGTACACTATTAAAAAGAATAATTAGTCACTAAAATGACATGTATATATTTGTGAAAAACAAATCTCTAGAATTTTAGTGACAAAATTAGTAGCCAATTTTCCTTTTTGGTGGCTAATATCTATATTCCTTATTATTTAGAGGCCACACTTACTTTTGGTCGCTAAAAGATATCTTTAGCGACCAATTTTTTGTCTCTAAATTTTTGGTCGCTTTGGACCCATTTTCTTGTAGTTAAAGGAAAAAAATTGCTCAGTGACCTTCAAATCCAAGCTTTTTCTTTCTCTCTACTCAAATTCCTCTTTTTTTTTTCCTAAAAGCTCCTATTATCAGATTGCATGAGAGAAAAAAAATTTAAAAAGCTTTTTAATAAGACCTATCAGTGACTTTGGATATTTATAATAAATATTAATATAATATTTAATTTAATTAATTTTTAATATAAAATTTATATAAATAATATTGGGCTTCAAAATTATAAAAAAAAATCATAAAATAAAATATTTTATTTAAAAAATATCGGTGAAATCGGTTTGCCAAACAGACTCCTAACAGTTCTAAAATGCTCACTTGTACCAATATGTGTCAATTTTTTAAGGATTTTTGATAATGTCCAAAAATTACGAAAAAATTTGTATAAGTAAAATAATATAATAATAATGCTATGGAGAATATGATTTATGATTTGGAGTTATAATGAATCAAAAAAATATTTTATCTGAGTCAAGATATGGGTTATTACATTAAGAATGCAATAGAAGATGGCTCTTTACCTTAGGAATCAAGGAGATTTAGTTCAGACATTTTAATCAGGACTCTTTAATATGTTAATGCATCTAAATAGTGAAATGCAATGATATATGAAAGTAATATACATATAAAACCTTATTCCTTTATAATGTAAGAAAGTACAACCTAGTAAAGGTCATCAGGCACCAGCGATATAAGCATGAATATCTACCTTATACAATATAGATTTGAATATGTTTGCTTATTTTAGTCTTTAAACCGTCTTGCTACTTTATCTTTAATAAGATTCCAAAAGACAATGATCTTCAAAGGAAGAATTATTTTCTTTTGGAACTTCTAAATGGATATATACAATCATATTTAAATATTTTCTTTTACAACTCTTATAATTTACAACTCAATCTATCTATGCAAGAAGTCTACACCTTTACATTTAGTACATTCCACTTCCTATAAAAAAATAGCAATATAAAAATAATATAGAAGTTTAATGTAGGTATATAAAGTATAACACAGCTTAAGAGCCTAATGAGATAGAGAGCCTAAGGTGCACAAACTGGAATATTAAACATAACATCCAAAGTACATAATTTAAACATATCAAATATGAATACCCTCTAGACATGGTACTCCAAATAATCCAAAACAAGCACACCAGCTAAGCCTAAGCTAAAGCCAGTTGTCTTATCAAACTATCTAAATTGTGTGTAATATGTTATGTGTTTTAGATAGATCCTAAGTTTATTTTGTTTAAAGTTACCGGCCATTCTATTTTAATTTGTTTAGGGTCAATTGGGTTTTATTTAATTTAATTTTCATATTTTAAAACTCTATGATTTATTTAAAGAGTATATTTTAAGGGTTTGAAATATTTATTTTAAGTTTTAAAGGAATGTAGAATTCAATAACTCCTTAGTGTCAGGAGTCATTAATTGATACGTTCTAGACTCATATTTGTAATGCATTTGATTCCCCCTTAAGAATCAAATCCAAATACATAGATTTCTCAATTTTATTTACTTGTTTTAATGATTTATGTTTTAAAGAGTCTTGCTAACCAATAACTTTAAGGACTTGAAACTCTTAGACTTTGTTTGGACGGCTTTTTATTGCTTCTTAAAATAAAATTTTAATACAAAAGTTTTAATTTTTAAGCTAAAACTCCTTTTTAGAAGCAATAAAAAAGCTGTCACAAATAAAGCCTTAATTGAAATATCTTAGGCTCATAATTGTAATGCATTTGATTCCCTCTCAAGGATCAGCTCCAATGCACATAATCCTTTATTTATGTTGTTTATTAAAGCTATTCACTTTTATTTAATTTATTTAATTTAAGTTGTGACTTATGTTTATGAATTTTAAATCAATTTTAATTTTATCATTCATTTTATGACTTTATTTATTTAATCTTTAATTTTTAAATTTTTATTTAAGTTTTATTTAATTTCTTTTAATTATTTACATTTATGTTATTTAAATGATGGGGGATTTACATACATACCACCCTATACCACTCTATTTACATATATAACATCCATAATTTTAATTTTTCATTCCTACCGCCATACACTATTTTAATATCAAATATGTCACTCTTTGGTATATGGTGATATGTATATAAATATTAAAGTTTTGGGATGAAAGTAGTGTATGGGTGGTGGGATCGAACTATTAACATTTTGAATGTAACGTATGTAAATATGGTGATATAGGGTGATATGTATATAAATCCAATATATCACTCTATTTGCATATCTAATAAAAAAATTAAATATTTTATTCCTATCACCATACACTATTTTAATATCAAATATACCACTATGTGGTATAATGTGGTATGCATGTAAATATTAAAATGTTGTATGATGGTAGGAATAAAATATTAAAATTTTATCATTAGAGATATAAATAGGTTGGTGAGAGTCGTCTTAGATTGTTTGGTCACATAAAATGATGGCCTCTGATGACCTAGCTAGGAAAGTGGAGGTATTAGGTTTGACTTATGCTAAGAAAAGTAGAGGTAAAACGAAAAAGACTTGGTTAAAAAATATTATAAATTATATTTTTTATTAGATTTAAATGAGAATTTGAATTTTAATATGTTCAAGTAGTTGTTGTTATATATATAAATAGGTTTGTAATGAGTGGCATGTGTGCAATTTTTTTTTCTATTTTTAAGACGATATTAGACGGGAGAATGGATGGAGGGGCCAACACAAATAACCCAAGCGGAAATCTCTGTGAACCTCCATCCGTAGTCCCTATATAAATGACCCCATCTCCCATTCAAACCCTAACCTTAGCAAGTTAGACCTTTCGCCGCCGCAAGCTCTAGGGTTTTAGCTAAAGTTGCTCGAAGGAAACCATGTCGGACGCTCTGGTTTTCAAGGGGATTCTCAACGGTCATACCGATGAGGTGACGGCAATCGCTGCACCCATCGACAACACCGACATGATTGTCTCCTCTTCACGCGACAAATCCATCCTCGTCTGGGACCTTACCAAGGAGCAATCCTACGCCACAGACAGCGCCCCGGCATCCGCAGGTCTCCCCCGCCGCCGTCTCACCGGACATTCCCACTTCGTTCAGGACGTGGTCCTCTCCTCCGACGGTCAGTTCGCACTTTCCGGGTCCTGGGACGGTGAGCTCCGTCTCTGGGATCTCAATACTGGTGCAACCACCCGTCGGTTTGTTGGCCACAACAAGGACGTCCTGTCAGTTGCCTTCTCTGTTGACAACCGTCAGATCGTCTCTGCTTCACGTGACAAGACCATCAAGCTATGGAACACGCTTGGCGAGTGCAAGTACACTATCCAAGACGGGGACGCTCATACCAATTGGGTGAGCTGCGTGAGGTTTAGCCCTAATAATTTCCAGCCCACGATAGTGTCTGGTTCATGGGATCGTACGGTGAAAGTCTGGAATTTAACCAACTGCAAGCTTCGCTGCACGTTGACGTGCCATGCTGGTTATGTGAACACCGTGGCGGTGAGCCCCGATGGATCTCTGTGCGCAAGCGGGGGAAAGGATGGTGTGACGCTGCTTTGGGATCTATCCGAGGGGAAGAGGTTGTACTCGCTTGATGCTGGGGCGATTATTTATTCCCTCTGTTTCAGCCCAAATAGGTACTGGCTCTGTGCTGCAACGCAGCTTAGTGTTAAGATCTGGGATTTGGAGAGCAAGACCATTGTGCAGGATCTCAAGCCTGAAGCGGCAGCTGCTGGGAAGAGTCAGGTAATTCCTCGTGTTTTTTCTTTAGCAGATTTTAGGTTTGCGAGAATTATTAGTTTTATTATTCTTTGTTTGAATTCATTTTTTGAGTATCTAAAGATGCCGAAATATTTGCTGAAATTGGTAACCGATAGAGTCAATGATAACTACCTTAATTTATTCAAATGCATGAATTTTCTTGAATGGAGTTTATCGACAACTAACTAGCCTTTGGCTTTTTTTTTTCGGCTAGATAAGGTTATCCAGATGCTTATTTACGCCATTTTTGTATTGTGAACGTGTCTACATTATGGCCATTGCATGATACTTGAGCTTTTTTATTCGATGTTTATTTCACTAATCACACAATATTAGCATCTAGTTTTTCTATTAGTTTCTATGTTTTTTTGAGAGTCCATTGAATAATATTTTTCTCCATGATTTATCAAGAATGGAGAGAGTAGTGGTAAAATTAGTTTCTTCAAAAAGGTGATACTTTGATTGGTTGGTGGATTTGGGAGTTTATTTGCTAATATTTTTGCAGGAAAAATGAAAATAAAGTTTTTATTAAAATTAATACCTTAGCCAATCTATTTTGATGGCATCTATTTTGATGGCATTTGATTTGGTTTTGTTCCAACTTTTGCTTGGTTGAATTTTGAATTCCAACATTGAGGCATGATTGGATTCTATTCCAATCTATTGCTGATTTGGAATTAAATTTATCCACATCCACATCAAGGCTTTTGAGTATGTTGTGAGACACAATGTGTTTGGCATAAATGTTGATTATAAAGTATTCACTCATGCGACTGATATGTTGCCAAATTAAATTTGATGTTTTAGGTTTTATAGCATTTTTTTGTTTTATTATGCTGCTTTTGTATGCGGAAAGATTTGCTGATAGGCACTTCACTATATCCTTTTTGAATTCCATGAACATGAACCATGTTGTTTTCATTATGAGTAATTTAATGTTTTTAGATGATTTTCAAGGTTGACAATTTGAATATTATTGTTTTCCAACTTTATGAAGACATTGTTTAATGCTTAAAATTGTGTTCAACTGCTTCGTAATGTTGTAATATTTTGTGATATGAAATTTTTCATTTTGCTATGTTTTGCTTTTGAGTAAATTGGACCAGATTGTTCGATAAAATTAATAATTGATTGTTTGGTAAAATTACCATTAAGACCGTTGTTCAGAGTTGTAAGTGCTGGAATATTGTCAGAAAATTTGTTACGATGTTTTTTTATTAAATGTTCAAATGAATATTATCATAAGATTCATATAAAATTAGTTTTTTATGCGAAGTATGGTATATTACATAAATTAGTTAAATTATTAATTTGTTTGTTATTTACTGAGTCACTAGTTAGCTTATTACTATCTTAATTTATAATCTTTCTTATACTACTTGTTAATCAGGATGATTTGCAAACATAATGAATAGAGGATATCTATTTAATTATATTATTTAATTTATATACAAGTAATAAGAAAAATTTATTATCCACACATTTGTCCTTAGACAATTATTTTTTATTAATATTGATTTATTGGAGTATTTTTTGATGTATTAATTATTTGGAAAAAGTATCCAATACACCATTATTTTATCATCGTAATTGATTGTTACTAAAATGATTAACCATAAAGGTATCCTAATTATTTATTTATTGCAACAATTGTACCACTCATTTAATTAATTAATTAATTTAGAAATATTTAGATTTATTAATATCTGACTGGTCTAACAATCTATGGTGTTAGTAACCTAACAAGTTATTACTAAATAATTATTTAGACTATTTTGTTTTTAATGAGATATTACTAACTAGATTTAAATATAATTGTCATAATAATCAATTATCTTAATTGGTTGGGTTCATGGTTTAAAATTGCGCAATAAGAGGCACGCGTCAAGGCACGCCTTAGCGCAATTTCGCCCCTTTAAGCCTCAAAGCACATGCAGTGAGTTTAGGATTTGAGGCGTACGCCTCAAGTTTACTGAGGCGCACCTCGCCTCACGGTTGAGAGGCGGCAGCGCCCCTTTGGACCCCCGGCAGACCGGTATATAGTTGTATTCATGTTGTCTTATTATTGGGATCTTTTGATTTCACTGTATATCTTGTGCATTTTTATGTTTTATATATTATTTACTCATTAGTATATACAAAATTTATCGTTTTATGTTTATGGAATCTTTTGAATTTGAGGCTTACGTCTCAAAACGCCTTCAGGCTTACGCCTCGCCTCACGAACGAAAAACACCTCAATACCCGATTACACAATTTTAAACATTGGTTGGGTTTATTTGATATTTAATATTTTAATTACATTTTACACCTAATTAATTTTTTTATTTACTAATTAAATATTAAAACTCTAACAATTATGAAACAGTATTTAGTTAATCTAATTAATATCTTGTTAGCTTACTTATTTGTTTATTCAGTAAATCTTTTACTAGTTTTCTAATTCATCATCCTTATTGTTAACTAATCAATAATAAACAATTTATCCTAATTTGCCTGATTAATATTTTCAATTAATATATGCTTTTCTTGCTTAGTATTAAGTTTGCTAACATACAATCTTTAATTAGTCTAATTAAATTGCAAATTATTATATTTCAACTAAATTATTATGAGCGAGTTGTACCAAGCATAATTGTCATAAAAAATAGAAAAGTTAAAATTCAAAAAAAAAAAAATCTAGAATGTCAACCCAACCCATTAGTCTGAGGAAGATATTATCTAGTTGAGTTTTTCTCGCAACAACAGGTCTATGCCGTAACAAACACCAGAAAATACATTCTATTCACCTAAATATTAGTTCTAGATTGTAAAAGCATTATTACATGTTGCCCAAGTTTGTTTGTTCGATATTCTTTAATGTTGAATGGAAACTTTATTTTGGTGAACTAACATGTGAAAATTGTAGTGCTTTTTTGATATTTTATTAGCCAATCTACAAATATGAAATGTAGATCAATTCATATCATTTTCTCAGTAGTTAATAAATCTATATTCCTACTTTAATATCTACATGGCTTATATATATGTTGTTTTTGATTGATGCTTGTGGCTGCATTTTAATTTATTATTAGCCAATCTGCAAATATGATTGATGTTGAATTGAAGCACTTCCTTGGTGGAACCAACATGTAAAAATTGTAGTACTTTTTGATATATTATTAGCCAACCTACAAATTTGAAATGTAGATCAATTCATATCCTTTTCTCGATAGTTAATAAATCTATGTCCCTACTTGTATAGCTACATGGTTTATATATGTTGTTTTTTTTTATTGATGCTTGTGGCTTCCTTTCAATACTTGATGGAATCATGAAAGAGATGTAGTTCTAATTATCAATGCTATTATGATAACATTAATTATAATTCCTAGCTGTGATAATTGATGCAAAACTGCTTTATTTAGAAGTTAACCCTTGTAAATAAGTGAGGGAGTTCTTTTCTTGATGAATTTTGGCCAAGGTTTTTATGTCACATCCCATGTCGACCCCCTCTACCAAATAATGTTGGATGCAACAAAAAGAGCATACAATTCATCTTATATTTTAAATTCATAAACATTCCAATTATATCCTTGATGGATTTCATCATATTCATCAACAGTACAGAGGCATTCAGAATATTTGATTCAAGAGATAGTATATAAATATAGACCCACTAATAACCCCCAAAATATTCCCATAATAAAATTTTACATACCTTGGATTAGAATTTTTCTTACTTAATATACAACAAAAGATGAGTTTTAATTTGGTTTGACTCTAATCAGCTTCAATCTTGTCTGTCATTTTCTGTTAAAATGTTAAAATAACCAAAATAAAAATCAGATGAGCTAGGAGGCTCATAAAGTTATGCAATTCTAATATAGAATTTAAGTGTAAAAAATAATGAATAATATGCAATATGGTTGTGACCGAACATAATTCATAAACTAACCATTATTTACATTCTAAATATTAAAATTTATAAGATACTTATATAATAAATTAACATTTAGCTCCTTCCATGAATTAGTAATAACAGAATGCTAGTTAAAATGTCATAGGTAAGACAGTCAAGTTATTTAATAATTTAAACAAATTTTGAATTTTTTTATTTGTAATTATTTCTTATTCTCCTCTCATTTCAACATGAAATGTAGATACTTCTATCTCCTAAAATATGGATACTTCATTTAGTAATTATTTTTTCACTTCTCAATCCATGAGTGGGATTTTCTTGACTTTCAGGCAGGAAGCATCGAATTGCATGTGAAAAGCATGATTAGGCTTAGGGAAGGAAGAAGAAAGCTATGAGAAACATACGTGTAAATAATGATAACATACTTTACACGATAACATAAGTTTGTTTTACATACGTGTAAATAAGAAAGAAATTCAACTTGATGGATTTCTTTCATGCCTGACTTGAAAAGGTTGGGTTCTCTCTGGGCGGTCGAGCCCTATCCTTTGCTCTAAGAGGGTTGGGCTGCTGCTGCTCAGCAGGGCTTGCCTTGACAGTAGGCTTTGCTTTACGAGCGCTGCTCACAGGCGAGGACTTCACCCATATGATGATCCCTTTCGGCGAGGGGACATCAGGCGCATCAAGCTCAGAGTCTCCGGCGACTCCGGCTTCTCTGTCGGACTAGGTTTTCTTACCATCATCATAACATAATTAGTCCTCAATGCTTCATAAAATAGAACCAGGTAAAATCTAACATTATTGTCAATGTAGATCCTTATGCCTCCATTTGGCCCCTTTTGCCTCGCTTGCGTAGATATCATAATTAGTTAATATTACTCTTAATTTCATGATAGATCAGTATTCAAAAGTATAACGTCAAACTTAGTTCTATGAAAGAAAAAGAAAAAAAAAAGGAGAATTATTTCTGCATTATTTTTCTTTGAAGTGCTTAAGCATGAACAAAGGAACTGTTATCTAGATAGATCATTAAAAATAATTAATAATTCAAGTAAAGCTATAAAAGTCAATAGATAGAAAGAAAAATGGGTACTAAAAATAAGTTCAGACTAAAGTACAATAAAAAATCTATTTGATATAGAAAGATGAAAAAGATTAAGGGACTCCAACCACATTTTGTATATATATTTTTAAATTTGTGAGTATTTGTCCTCTTGTTTTTTTTTTTTTTAATTTATTTAAAACTTTCTTTTGCCATTGGCCGCTTCTCACGGCAATACACGAGATATTCCCACATCACTTAAGGGTTGGGATAAGTGATTTTTAAGGGTTAGAATTCTCTTTTAAACTAATATATTAGGAGTTTTCTTGGAGCGAAATACCAATGACTTTATTTCCTTTGTTATGGACTCAAGTCTGGTTTACTGGTCCTACTTATGCATATCATATTATCATTTCAAGCGGATGAGGTTATTATTCATGTAAGCCAAATTTTCTTACAATCAAATGGCGAATTTTTTATTAGTAGTTTTAATAAAGTAACTAATTATCTAGCGTGTTATGAATTCATCATGTTTGGGTGTTGGTTTATCATGATGTTGTTTTTCTTATGGAGGCTAAGCACTTATAATTTATATATATGATGTGACGTCCTTAACATAAAAATAGTAAATTTTTAGAAAGAAAAATAGTATTCAATTACCTCCATTTATAATAATTATAAGATTCAAATTTTGAAGAGCATAACAAGATCTGGATATATATATATGTACGTGTATTGATTTCATTGAATTTCAGTGAATTACCATAAATACAATATTGGGTTAACCTTAAAGAACCAGTCTGTTTTTCTTAATACTTTGTGTCGCAGCCACATTTGAATGTGGTATGTATGTTACATTATGGGCCAATTCCTGCCCAGCTCACTTGAAACCTTTTGATCAATTTTGAACAAGATATTTGTAGCTAATATTCGATCTTTATAGCTAGCTAATATTCGATCAAGATATTTGTTGTTAGAAAAATACTATGAAATTCTTGACAGGGATTGTTTGTTTGGAGATATGGGAGGGGAAGAAGAAGAGTTGGTTCGGATTGATTCTGCAACTCTTTGTTTGTAGTTGTCACTGTAGCAGAAGCTAAATTATGATTTTTTTTTTATTTGAAATTGCAGCTGCTGTACTGTACAAGCCTGAGTTGGAGCTTTGATGGAAGCACATTATATGCAGGATACACTGATGGTAACATACGGGTGTGGAGAATTTCACAATATTAAGACCATTTGATAAAAGTGCTTAGCTTATTTACTTGTTGTTATGTTCGTTCTGAATTATGAAAACTTAACAGCATGAAATTTTCATTGTTGTATTTCGAGTTATTGTTTTGGATATGTTTGTTCTGAATACTTTTGTTGGCATCCATAAATATTTTTATCTGCTCTGGATTCTATTTTTGTGTTTTTGGATTCCTATTTGTACTGATCTTTGCACTGTCTATCATATCATTCAGTGTCCTTCTAGATATATACATGTCTGAGAGTTTCTATTCTTTGAATTTATGATAGTTCCCAGCTTTTGTTCGAGTAGATGGTGCATTTAAGCTGGCATATTGTTGCTCATCATATTTATTATTAATACAAAAGAGGCTTACATTTTAATGTGATTGCATGAGAAATTCTGCATTTGGATTCAAACCTAATGAAAGCTTTTGCTGTACTGCTTTGCATGTTTGCCTTCTCTATATGTACGTGTAGAGAGAGATAGAGAGAACTATTTCTGGGAGAAAATTTAGCAAGTGAGTAAACTTTGTGAGTTGTATACATTTTTGGTACAGATGAATCTTAGTAGCATTTCTGGGATCCCATATCATTTTGATTTTAAAAAATAAGATCATCATTTAGATGTTAGATATGATCAAGGTTGTGAAAATTTGATTGAATAATGTATTGATTGAAAGAATAGGTTATTAGTATGATGGTTTAATTGTTGCTTAAAATAATTTATATAATAAATGTTAATTTTATTCATATAAGGTAATTTATATAATAATGATGTAATTATATGTTAATATTTGATAAGAAATTACATACACTCATATTATGAAGTAGAGAATTTTTTACAACAAATAAATTTAGTAATTCTACAAATAAAGAGAGTCATTATTTGAGTAATTGAGTTCAAAAGGTGGTATATTCTGACAACACTGATGAAGTAGAGCAGCCCGTTTGTGCCAAACAAATTTAGCCCACACCACATTAGGCACTTCATCAAAATAATGCAGTTTAAAAGTTTTAAAAGCAGGATTATTATATTTCCTCTAGCATAAAGGGGCGATGGAAGGCTCCTGAAGAGGAATAGCAAGTATCAAATGTTTAATCCAGTGAGGAAAGTTGCTCGGAATGCACCGTACAGATGAATCTTATTAGCATTTCTGGGATCCCATATCATTTTGATTTAAAAAAATAAGATCATCATTTAGATGTTAGATATGATCAAGGTTGTGAAAATTTGATTGAATAATGTATTGATTGAAAGATTAGGTTATTAGTATGATGGTTTAATTGTTGCTTAAAATTATTTATATAATAAATGTTAATAATTCTCCAGAGATTGGCCAAAACGCAAAACCAGTCGAGCTGTAGAGATTGGCCATCCAGAGGGCAACTGGCGGGCCCCGTTCATCATAATCCAACAAGCCTCTGCCAGCAAAGCACGTCGGAAACTCATCACGGGATTTCCAATTCGAGACTTTGTGACTGATGGCCAAAACGATCTGCTTACCCACCTCATAGTGTGAATTTTGAGAGCCAGTGAATCTTCACTCATTTCTTTCTCTCCATAAGTAGTAGATTACGCAACAATTAATAAAATAACAAAAAAAAAAAAATTTCAGCAGCACTAAAAGTGCAAATCTCTTCCAAAAATTCAAAAAGCTGCAGAAGAGAAGGTCTAAAGAGCAAACCATTCAAAATCGGAAGAAGGTTGGAGAGAACACCAAAAGAGAAATCACAAGAAAGAATAAATGAGCACTGCTTTCAGTTTCCCGCAGGCATAGAGGGCAAGACGAGTGAATGAAAATGTTCCTCTTGGCTAATACATCACCCGTTTTTAATCTATTCTTAAACAAAAGCCAGGCGTAAGATGAGAATCTAAGAGCAGCCTGTTTGTGCCAAACAAATTTAGCCCACACCACATTAGGCACTTCATCAAAATAATGCAGTCTAAAAGTTTTAAAAGTAGGATTATTATATTTCCTCTAGGATAAAGGGGCGGTGGAAGGCTCCTGAAGAGGAATAGCAAGTATCAAATGTTTAATCCAGTGAGGAAAGTTGCTCGGAATGCACCATGCCTTCCCACTAGTGTAGGACCTAATGTCATCAGGTAACCCAGGTGAAGAGGGGCGGAAATCAGCCAACCGATTCCCGTTAACCCAGGGATCCTAAAAAAATGAGAGAAAGCAGTCATCAGGTGAAACCACAAGTTTAATATCATTTTTTATTTTCCCAACAATGCCATGAATGAATTTCCAGAATTTAGAGCTTTTGGAAGGAAAAGGCTTCCAGGGGGTAGTATATTTATGTTTAAGCCAATCAAACACCAGAGACTTAGTATTGTACATTCTCCAAATGAAGGAGTAGCCAAAACCATGATATAGCGATTGAATATTCAAAATCCCAAGGCCACCAAGGCTAGTGGGTAAGCAGGTGTTGTGTCAAGCTACCAGGGGTAGCTTCTTTCCCTCAATAGAGCTATGATAAAGAAATCAAGAACATAGTCTGTCAATGCTTTTAATGCAAGATTTAGGTATGATAGCGCCCCTAATCCAATAGGCCAGTGTATTAGCAATAGTAAATCTTAAGTATTGGATGCGACCTGCAAAAGAGAAAATTTTGACTTTTCAACCATCAAGTAGAGTATAAATTCTACTCATTAGTGGTTGGAAGTGAGTAGATTTAAGCTTTTTGGTGGAGATGGGAAGGCCCAGGTATTTGAACAAGTGATCAGTATGAGTAAAACCCAAAATATTGGAGATGTTGTTAGCCAAAATAGTATTGTTGGAGAACAAGATAGAACATTTGGCGTTGTTGACGTGAAGGCCTGACGCAATGCCAAACTCCTTTAAAAACTTTGATAAATCCCAAGCATTAGCAATGGTGGCAGATCCAAAAACAAGTACGTCATCCGCATATAAAAGATGTTTAAGAAAATAAGTGTCGTAAGTGATACCAGTAAAAGGCCTTTCATCCAAAGAGCAGAAAAATGCATCCATGACAATCGCAAAGAGCAGAGGGGACAAGGGGCAGCCTTGTCTTAACCCGGAGGCAGAAGTAAAATATCCCTAGAGAGCCCCATTGATACAAACTGAAAAGGGGCCTCATAAATACAGCTTTTAATCCAAGGGATGAATTTTTCAGGGAAGCCTTGCCTTTATCCCGCATTCTAGAGATAAGGAAGTCCCAAGAGACCGAGCCAAATGCTTTCTGAATATCCAGTTTAGCACAGAAGAACTTCTTGGAAGAGGATCCATTAAAGTCATTCAAAATCTCATTAGCCAAAATGATATTATCCGTGGAGATTCTCTTAGAAATAAACCCAGCTTGACTTTTATGGATAATGTGTGGCATGACACATTTAAGCCTATTTTCAAGGATCTTTGCAATAATCTTATAAAATACATTACAAAGAGAAATTAGACGGTAATAAGAAATATTAGTGGCTTGCTGGTTTTTGGGGATGAGGGTGATGGCAGTTGCTTTAGCACACCTAATAAGGTGACCAACTGAAAAGAAATTTTTAACCACATTGGTCACATGAAAACCAATGACCTCCCAAGCCCCCTTGAAAAACTCAAAGGTGAAACCATCCGATCCAGGAGAGGAAGAAGAAGGTCCATCAAAAACAACTTGTTTAATTTCTGAATTCGAAACTGTAGCAATTAAAGTAGCAATGAGGTGAATGGGTTTTTGTGTCCCCCTTTGGAAAAATCATCTTAGTATTGTCAAAATGAATCATAGGATTATATAATTTCCTAAAATGCTCAATAATGGCCTTAGTTATATCATTAGGGGAAGAAAAGTGTCCTTCTTCCGTAGCAATTTCTTTGATCTTAGACGAATTGGCTCTGGTTTTAATGCGGGCGTATAAGAAGCCCAAATCATCCTCCCCATTGCATAACCACTTAGCCTTAGCACGTTGAATAATCCAAGAACTCCAAGCCCCATGCAACAAAGAGATGTTGGCATTAATGTCCTTCAGGTAAGCATTGAGGTTGTAATATAAAGGATTACAATGAATTTGCTCAATACATATTTTTTGCTTCTGACAAAGATCCACCAATTTAGACTTTATGAAGTGATCATTGTTCCAGTTTTTCTATTTAAGATGAAACTTGAGGGTTTGAAGCTTTCCATAGAGGTTGGAGATGGGGCTACCATCATGATGAGTGGCAAAGGAGGAGATAAGAACATCCCAAAACCCATCCAATTTGATCCAAAAGTCTTTAAATTGAAATCTGCTAACATTAGGAAAATTGCCACCCGAAAAAAGAAGTAAAGGGGAATGATCCTAGCAGATTGGAGGGAGCACTTTGTAATAAGAAGAGGGAAAATTTTCAAGCCACCTTTGATTCACAAGCATTCGGTCTAGCTTAATGTGTATAGGGTCATCCACCAGGCCATTAAACCAAGTGTATTGCAAGCCAACATATTTTAAATCAATTATGACAGTGTTAAAAACCTAATTATTAAGTTCTCCCAATCTGCTGGAATGCGTCGGATTGCCCCCCGATTTGTCTTTAGGATTTCGAAAATAGTTAAAATCTCTCATAACGATCCAAGGGGAGGAGATAGTCTCAGTCAAATCCAAAAGTTGTTGCCACATAGGAGATCCTCATAAGGGGAGTTAGCCACATAAATCACAGAAAGGAAGATGGGGGGAAGGGCTCCATAAAGGAGGGTACCATGGATGAATTGAGAGGTAGAGATAATCGGGTTGAAGCTGATGGAAGAGGAATTCTATTTCAACCAAATACACCCATAAGAGGAAAGATTGAAATTATTACATCTATGTTCATTAGGAAAAAATTTGATGAGTCTTAGTGAACCAAGGGTCAGCGAGAGAAGAAGAGGAGACTTTAGGTTCAAGTATACAAATCATGTCAAGAAGATGACTGGCAACTTAAGTTCTTAACAGCGAGAACTTTTTCAGGTTTGTTAAAACGACGAGTGTTCCAGCACCCAATAGAAGGAATGATCATTTGGATTTGTTGGGATGTTGTGCTTTCTTAGCACCTTTAGATCTCGTGGACTTGGCATGTTGGAATTTTTGAGATTGCCCCTTGTCAGGGATGTCATCAAAATGATGTTTAGTGGATGAGCAATTAGCCTCATAAACATGATCCGACTGGTCGTCAGCCTGCAAGGCAGAAAATTTATTGGGAGAGGTCGAAAC